TAAATAAATATAAAAATACATTTATATGTATGTAAAAAAATAAAGAGGTTGAGTCAGGTGCCCTCAAATCACTTCCAAATCTCAAAAACCAGTGATTTTCAATTTTCTTCTAATTTTCATTTTTCAACACTGCTTCTTATTCACGGGATGGTAAAGACATATACAAGCAGAGCAATATTCATCTGGTCCCTGCTGCCTGCAGGTAGTCAAATGATCCATTATGTTGACAAAGTGTAAGGTTCCCATTCATATCTTCCCTAAGGCATGTCCCTCCATCTAGTTAATTAACAGCAATTTAGCTTTCCAACCATTTGTAAATGCTCACCTTCTAATGTATAGATTTCTCTTCCCCAGGGGTACTTGGGGTACTTTTTTAAGTCTTCTTCACTTCGAGTGGCTTCAGGAAAGAATTCATACTTAATAAGCTCTCTGTAGACGATAGGAAATTAATCAAAATTACAAAACTGGAATAACGTTGGGATGTGGGGCGAATGGAATGTCAAAACTGTTTCAGGCCCAGAATCTACTGAACATCTAAAACAATACAGTAAATAGCTAACAGAAGTATGATACACTCCAACTAGGACACAAGTCTAGACGAGTCAAAATTACTTTCTTTAGTCTCTTCAAAATCGTAGGCAAAGAAAGCAAGCTATTCTCTAAGCAAATATCTTGGGTGTAGGTGCTTAATACAATGTTAATAAATACACAGAAAGTTCAATTTTCTGATGATATAAAACATCAGCCTTCAGATCTTTTTCTTGATCTCTTTTCCACATCTCAAGGTTAAAGAAATAAAGTCAAATGTACATGGTCATTCTTCTCTTGTAATTTTTTCCCACATGTGAAAATAAAGTTATAATAAAATCTACAGGTACATTTTTTAGTTTTAAGTCCTCATTCCCCTCAGTTTTTCACAAATGTTAATTATTATTACGAGCCTACCTGGGAAGCCCAGATGGAATTATTTAAAATAAGGAGTAACTGGCATTTGCTTCTGGTAGTCCTGGCTACAGGAAATGACTTACTGGTTGATGTTTGCTATAGTGTCCATCCAGCTGCGAATGCGCACCTTGTTCCGGACATTGGGAGGGTTACTGAATTCGTGGATAATACAGATGTGATAGGGGTAGGGACCACTGAATAGTTTCTGCTCCAAAGTGAGTGTGTCCACCTGTGGAAGACAACAGAGAGAAGGCTTTTGGACCCAAGAAGAAAGAGCCTTAGAAATCTATCTCCTAAAGCTTGAACGATCTTTTCATGGGCCTTCAGTTTTAAAATCCTTGGCTGATGTGAAAATCAAACAGTCATGTTCAGCCCTAAACACAGCTTGCCATGTTGAGGGCAAGGCTTAGCAAATTCTCTGTCCAGCAAGATCAGCGATTAATATCTCATTGTTATATAAATGGGGCCCTGGTGGAGCAGTGGTTAAGTGTCTGGCTGCTAACCAAAAAGGTCGGCAATTCGAATCCACCAGCCATTCCTTGGAAACCCTACGAGGCAGTTCTACCCTGTCCTATAGGGTAACTATGAGTCGGAATTGACTCGAAGGCAATGGGTTTTTTTTTGTTTTTTTACAGATTATATAAATAAATGCCCATTAAATCAGAGAACCTGATTCAGGCAATTAGTCTCAGGAATCCACATCTAAGCATGTCCTTTATAGATCTAACTACTGACTGCATTACTCTCTCATAAAAACCAGTTGCTGTTGAGTCCACTCTGACTCATGGTGACCCCATGTGTGTCAGAGTAGAACTGTGCTCCACAGGGTTTTTAATGGCTGATTTTTTGTAAGTAGGTCATTAGGCCTTTCTTCCAAAGTGCTGATGGGTGGACTTGAACCTCCAATATCTTCGTTAGCAGCCAAGCACATAACTGTTTGCTCCACCCAGGGACTCCTATAGTGCCATATATCCTATTCAAACGACTATTACTCATTCTTAAAAACAAATCACATTTTCTTGCCTTCTCATATTTTTCACATTCTTTCTTCTCATGGACTGCTCTCTTCCCTATCTCTAATTATGAAATTCCACTTTGCCATTTTAGTGGCATAAATGTTTATCTCCTTCACGGAAAGGCAAACTTTTTGAGAGAAGGATGATGTCATGTGTATTTTTCAGTATGAAGCAAATTATAGACACTCAACAAATGATCAGTTGAATTTAACTATTTTGGGGCCAGGCTCAAACACTGACTGCAGGAGTTGTTTAATACATCCATTAAACTCCTTTTTGGCATCAAGTTCAGAGCCTCATATACAATGTTTACTTTTGATAATAATGATAAAAATAAAGATGATGATAAAAGCAGCTATTATATGATGGCTTGCTACATACCAGTTAACTGTTCTAAGCACTTCACATATGTTAATTTATTTAAATATAACAATAACCCTAGGGGTAATACTATTCTAATTTTACAGATGAAAAAAGTATGACAAAGAGGTTATCTACTCCAGGTCTGAGAGCCAGAATTTGAATCAGGCAGTCTGAAATCAGAGTCTATGCTCTTAACCACAGGTGACTATTAATGAGTATAGAAGTTTGTTGCGTAACACCTCTCCTCATCACATATTAACTTGCTACAAAAACTTTAAAAATCTAGCGGAGATGTATTAATGAAGAAGACTGGCAAGGTGGTCTACCTTGGTTAAAAAAAAACTGTAGAAACTGAAGAATCATGACTATGGATGGAACAAATGAACAAATGCCAAGTCCAAAAAGGATGAAGACTACAGGAAAAAAAAAAAGAAGGTGTTATCATCAGAAGGTGCAGACCTCATTACCTGCTGCATTGGGCGCAGGTATATGATGCGGTTTCTCTCAGGAGGCATCCTTAGTATCTGGTCTAGTACCTGATCCATATTCAGTTTCTTGCATTGTGCGTAGTCAAATCGGTTTACAATTGGTGCATTTTCTACTTTTAAATGTTTCAGTACCCTGCACCTGGTAGCTACAAAATGAAAACAATGGTAAGTTCTATTAAAAAATTTATACAAAATAATAGTGGCATAGAGCCTATTCAGAATCATCTTTGGAGAACTGGCCTAATTTACATTAACACAAAATACTGCAATTGTAAATAGTTTTCATATAGGTCAAGTACTATCATAGAGTACAAATGATTTGAAAATGTCATGCTGAAGAAGGTGGTCACCCTCATGCTAGAAGGGGCATTAAGGTACCTTTTTCTATCTAAGATTTTACTGTCTAGGAACAGTAAGTATTTATTAGTATTTATTGAAAGGTATGAATAACTATTCACTTATACGATTTTATGGGTAATGTCAAATAAACCTGGAATAATTTCACTCTACTATCTTACACTCCTCCATAGGAAATAAGCAGAGTTGACAACTGTAATTCCTAACTCAAGTACAAAAGCAAAACCTTAAAAAAAATTTTGAATATTTTGGTCTAAAACTGTACAGTTTAATATGATAGCTACTAGCCACCTGTAGCTATTCAAATTTAATTAAAATTTAACAAAATTAAAAATTCAGTTCCTTAGGCACTAGCCACATTTCAAGTGTTCAACAGTCACATGTGGCTATTGACTACCATACTGAATAATGCTGATATAGAACATTTCCATCATTATAGAAATTTCTATTGAACAGCACTGGTTTAAAACATGAATATTCTTCCTGTTTAATGTATAAAGTGTGAGGTTATAGAGAAAAGTAACTGTGATATAATAAGTACATCTAACTGCAACAGTATACCAACTTCAGAACAACATTCCTTCCCTTTTTTATCTCAAATTTCAACTTGGTCCAATTTTTATTGCAGATTTCAATCTGATCCAAGTCAAGTGAGAGGATCAAATGAAGACATTTTAAAACGATATGGCTGATAGGCCCTATCTTATTAACAATTCATAAAGACATCTTCTGTAACATCCTTGACCCAAATGTTATCGTTGCTTTGTAACTTTGATGTTTGAATTCTGAGCAAGTCTTCTGCCTTTCAAGCTCATTTTCTCTTCCTTATTCTGTGACATGGTGGGAGGAAGAGGAATCGGTGTTGGGGACAGAAAGGGAAGAGAAGAGAGAGAAGGCTAGATGGCAGAAGGGTCCAATGGCTATAAAATCAGACATGGCTAAGGTCAAATCTAATCTCATTTAACCATCTTATCTGCCATTAACTTAGCTGGTATCTAGGGACTGAGCTACTTATCTAAGGCCCTCTGTCTCATGATAAGCTGAGCTAAACTATTTGGTTTAAGGGCAGAAGGCTGGGCCTAAGCCCATGTGACTCATCACTAGGGAGGAGAAGATATGTGGATAATCATCAAAGTCAAGTGCAAAGGTACAAACCAGTCAGATTCTCAGAGAGCTCAGAGCAGAGAAAGGAATCAAAGGTCAACCAGCAGAGTCTTAAGCGTGAGCGTGAGATTCTTAGAGCTGAGAGGCAGGAGGCAGAGTGTGGACAGAAGAAAAGCTTTTAAAGTGCTGCTGTAAGGCTAGGCTGGGACTCCTCTGCTATTATGATGGCTGTGACTTTAGAGAGCCCATGCTTTCTCTTTTAAAAGGAAATTCTAATACCAAACCCAAACCTGTTGCTGTCTAGTCGATTCCGACTCGTAGCGACCCTACAGGCAGGGTAGAACCGCCCCACAGAGTTTCTAAGGAGCGCCTAGTGGATTTGAACTGCCAACCTTCTGATGAGCAGCCACAGCACTTAACCACTACACCACCAGGGTTTCTGGAAATTCCAGCAGGGGGTAGTAATATTTATATTAGTATTGCAAAAAATACTAAGGGATTTTTAAAAAAATATATTAAGGGGTTTTCTTTTGTTTGTACTTAACCTATGATATTAGTAGTAAACAAAACAAAGAGAAACCATAAAAAAGTAGTTACCAGCCTAAACTAGGAGAATCCCAGAAAGGAAAGATCAAACTGACACTACCTCCAATTGGGGGTAGTAATTTATTAGATGTTTTAGGACAAAAGCCTCATTGGATGGGTTGCAGAAAAGTACCACCTCTTCAGGGTAAACAAACATGGGGTCTGGTATCTTCTAGAATTCGGGGGAAAGGTGGTGTCTGGACCTCAGTTTGATCTCTCCTTTCTGGGACTCTCCTAGTTTAGGACAAAATGTTGGGTAAGCACTTTTTTATGGTTTTGTTTGTTTTGTTTACTACTAATACAATAGATGAAGTACAAAGAAAAGAAAATCCCTTTATTTTTTTAAAAAATCCCTTAATATTTTTTGCAATGCTAATTAATATTTACTAGGCTTTTACTAGAGACCACATCCTATACTATGTATGTTTGTGTGTGTACATGTGACCTAATACATGTGTGTAAAAACATGTATACACGCATAGCAATCATTTAACCTTCACAATAGCTTTATGAGGTAAGGATTATCACGCACACTGTACAGACTGAAGAAAATGAACATGGAGAATATATAACTTGCCTAAGACAAGGAATAAATCGGATCTTCATAATTTTACATGGATACAAAAATATAAAAAATTATGAAAAGGGAAAATAAATAGATCACGTACAGTACATTTTATGTATCTAAAATTTTAAAAGCTCACATCAAACAATACTCCCTATTTGTTCAGAGATAGACATGTATGTAAGTAAAGGCATGAAAGGTGGACTGAAGAATATATATATGAGTATAGATGATGGGAGAGATGAGATTGACAATGAGGGATGAATGGGACTATAAAGAAAAGCAGGACTTGGCCTAGTGACAATGTGCCATGAACTGACGATATCATTGGTCATCTCAATCAAACACGGAGCAGTTAAACACCTAAGGTCCAGTCTGTAACTCCTCCCCACAAAAGACATTCCAACATCACACAGCTAGCAAATGGCAGAGCCAGGATTCAAGTTGAGAGATTGACTCCAAAGTGCATGCGTGCTGTTCATCCACTCTGCCAAATCAGGTAACAATTATCTTTTGGAGGAGACCAGAGAAAAGGTTATTTCAAAAGATGAACCAAGTGTCTGCACATGAACCTTCAAGAGTACTATGGAGTAGTCATTTGAAAACTACAGAACAAGAACAGAATTAGAATATAATGCAAAGATACCTCTAAAAAAAGAATACAGCAATGTAACTATAGTATTTATGAGTCCTTAATTTTTAAAACTTATTCATGATGCTCTTGTATTGCACAGGTCCAATACATACCATGGATGAACATCATCTTGGGGCAGTCTTTCAGCACTAGATCTGTGATTCCACAGTTGGTCATAGTGACTCCAACAAGATTTTTGGATTTTAATACAAGGACCTAAAAGCAGTAAAGTTAAAAAGTTCCATGTGAGTGAGTCTTTGTTCTTTTTTTTTTTGAGGTTACATAAATGTTTTCACTGGCACAACAGAGAAGCAGCTGCTACCAATTTCTTCTCCTTAGGACAAAGAAACTATATAAAGATTGGAAATACAGTTCCTTTGCATTAGGCAAGAACTTGGTCAGACTAAGAACAGTAAGTGAAGGGTGAAGGTTTTTTTGTTTTGTTTTTTTACCTGTACATGGTCATCCTCAATCACAGGATCACTGGTACTGGTGGACTTATCTGCCATTCGCTTCCGCTTCATGGCATGGCGTGGCTTTGTTTTGGCAACCTCTAGAAAAGGCAAGAGGAAAATCTACGGTTCAGCCTTGCTTTCTTTGTTTCAACAGAGCACATTCAATTGCACATGTACAAACTCCAACAAGGCAACTCCCAAATCTACGACTCAGTTCCTAAACGAATATAATCGGACTGCTATTTCCAACTGACTGTTGTAAAACAAAGGAGCCCTGATGGCGCAGTGGTTAAAGTGCTTGGCTGCAAAACTAAAGGTTGGCAGTTCGAACCCACCAGCCACTGCACAAGAGAGAGATATGACAGTCTCCTTCCATAAAGATTTACAGCCTTGGAAACTCTGGCGCAGTTCTCCTCTGTCCAACAGGGGCACTATGGTTTTTGGTTTGGTTTCAAAACAAGATCATCCTCCATTTTCTTAAACACATCTATATCATGCATAACCTCCCTTTTCAATACCCAGGCCATTCAAACAATCTAACATTCTTGTCTCTAATCTCCCTGCTTCAATCCATCCTAAATACTATTGGTGGATTAAGCTCACTTTCTTGTAAAAAAAAAAAAAAAAAAACTTTAAATTATTGCTTGCTGCTTAGTGAATATGTTTTAATTCCCTGACATATGGAGCTATGATTTAGTCCCATTCATTCACAACTTTATTCCTTACTATATCCTACTCATCTCCCACTGCAACGTCTCTGAAGCCATTAATCAGTCTATCTCCTTCTGACCAGAACACGTTTCCTGACTTCACTTTTTGGAACGCTACCCATTCCTATAAGGTCAGCTCAAATGCCACCTGCTCTAACAACTCACCCTGAACCCCCAAACATTATATATTATTCTGTAGCTCCCTGTATACTTGTTTTATCTCTCCATTTAAACTAAAAGCTCCTTGAAGGCAACAACACTGTCTTATTTCATCTTTGTATCAAAGTCAGGCATTATCAGTGTACTAAAATAAACATTTATTGAATGAACTGGCACTCAACATTTTCTAACTGAATACATCACAAGCATGTAAATGGAGTAACAAAAAATATTTACTGAGCACTTACTGTGTGTCAGGCACTGTTCTAAGAGTTTAATTGTATTGATTCATTTAATCCTTCTAACAGCCCTCTGAGACAGATTTATTATTCTCATTTTACAGATTAGAAAACTGAGGCATGGAAAGGTAAAATAGTTTGCCAACGTGTAAGTAGTGGAACCAGTAGTCAAACCCGGGCAATCTGGTGCCAGTCACTATGCTAGAAAACCATTAATCTTTTATCTGCCAAATCCTGGTTAGTAAGACCCATAACTCACTTCCTAGTATTATTCTAAAACACTGTAATCTAATTACAAAAGCAAATATTGTCTTGATGTTATCAGCTCTAAATTTATCTCTAAAACTTAACAAGTACATACATATTTCAAGAAAAAACACTAAATTGTCCTCATTTTTGGTACTTAACGATACTATAGCAGAGCATATCGTGTGAAATGAGGTTGACTTTCATGAATTATATCCTCACAATATTATATGGATGTTACATACACATATATGTATGTCACATATGTACAAATATATACTACTGACAGATTACAAACATTTCACTTGGCAATTCTGGAATCTCAAACACAATCACAAAGAAAGAGTAACGAGGTGCAAATATTGCAGATTCCCAAAGACTTGGGGCTACGTGGAACTCTAGAGATCCGGTCCGTGCTTTTCACACACCAAAACCATTTTCCCCACCATCTGAAATATTTGTGAAACCTCACTATGCAAAACAATTGAAAGCAGCTGCTCTGGTTGAAACCTAAAAGGGAGTCCAAGAGTTGGATCCATCAAACTTCCTCTGAGCCCCTGATATCAAGCAAAATCCTGGCATTCCAGAAACAACATGAGAACCATTAACGTGGTCAATCCAGTGAAGGCCTCTTTTCACAGTATTCCTGAAGGAACTTCATACAAAATCTGATATCTTCATTGACAAGGACCTTCTAAAGGTAGGATACTTCATATAATAGCCAAAATTCAGACATCTGTTACTACTCATAGGTCCTCATTTTCTCTCCCAGCAACAAAAGCAAAAACAAAAAAGGTCTGTTTCCATTCCTCCATGTCAAATAAGTCTTTTAATTAATATTCTCCTTTTATGATTCAATTTTTAAATCTCTCACCTTCCTGGATTGCTCTTTCCCCTTCCTTTTAATTGATCAAAATATGAGGCTGAAAGTTTCCTGCTCTACAAAGTGTCTTAAATTGATGGTATGTATTTTCCAAGAAAAGTTACAAAACTAACTCATACTTTATATGCAGATGACCCTGAAAAACAAAGGCTTCCCAATGTAAAAGGAAAACAGAGTTCTTACTGTTTATTGCTCTCTTTATGTCTTCCTTCCTCTTTAGGGACAATTCATCGTGTTTAAGGGACTTCACTTTAGTGATTTCATACATCCACTAGCATCAACATACCTCATGTGATGGTTTCTACCACTTATTAAGTTCACAATTATTCACTGGGCCCCATACCATGTGTAAGACATTGTGCTAGAAGCTGGGGATATAATGGCAGAGAAGCAGACAATGTCCCTGCCCTCCGAGCTCATAGTCTATTAAAGAGACAGATAGTAAAACACAGAATTATGACATAGTGTGATTAGTATTAGTTCAGAAGATGCTACAAAACACAGAAAAGCAGAATCTGGTTTGGGAGTGTTAGAGAAGGAGTTTAGTATTTATGAGAACCACATTAATCTTAAAACTATTCTTTGTTAACCCGATTATTTTTTGTGATATTTACATTATAAATGATTAAACAATGAAAATAGAAAGAATTACTTACAGGTATTTATTCCCAAAATAGGAATTCACAAAACAAATAACTACGTTAGCTTCTAACACGACTTTAATACTATAAAAGCCATAAATAAAACAAATAAAAAATTCAAACTTTATTTTGTTTGAAGTAGTTAAAAAAATCCAGAACACTCAATCAAGCTTGTTTATTAGTTCAGATTTCTTTCCTTAAAACTTTTAAAGCAGAGTGGCCAATAGGTATCGAAAACATGCTAGACTGAAAACAACAGGTTGTAAACCATCCAGATTAACTCTTCTCAGAAGAGACCTGAATAATATTACAATCAGAACTCTGATATTTTCTCAAAGAAAAAAAGTTATTCACAGTCCATCGTATGGTACTTTAAAAACATTAGTGATAAATTTAGCTAGTATAAACACATTAACTACATACATTAGAAGTCTCCTCAAACTAGGAAAAAAAAAAAAAAATCACAAGATAACAGATGTAATTTACCTAAAAAAGTAAATAGCACTATATAAATGAGATTTTATTTTTTTAATCCAGCAAATTACTTAACCTAAGAAAAAGTTCTATACTTTATTACGATTTGGAACTGAAAAACGGGACAGAACATGAAGCAAAAAAGTAAGTCAAATCCAAATGGTTAATATGGATGATCTATTAATATATTTAAAAGCAAAACAAAACACAAACTATGAAACTTTTCCAAGAGTCAAAAAACACATAAACTGGGAGACCCAATCTTGGGTCTCAATAGAAATAGTGTCAATGCTATAAAAATGAAGTCTCTTTTCAGTTAATTAAATCAATGTAATTCCAAACAAAATCCAAGATTTGTTTTTGGAACTTGACAAAATTATTATAAAACTACATCTATAAAAATAAATTTTAAATGTATGACTAGCTAGGGAAATTTTGAGAAAGAATAATGAAAGAAGACAGAACAATAGTATGCCCAGAGATAAACCTAAGTATATAGAATTTAGTACATGATAAAAGAGCACTTCAAAATAATAGCATGAAAATGAATGTCAATACACAGCCTAAGACAACTTGGTGACAATCTGGAATAAAATAATAAAGTTAGCTCCCATAGATTAAAATAAATTCCTACTAATTAAACTAAAATAAACAAATAAATGAATAAATAAATGTATGAAAAGATGTGAATATTTATGTGAACCAAGTGTAGGGAAGGCCTCCTGCAGAATAAAAATAAAGAAATCATAAAGGAAAACATGGAAATCTGACTTCACATAAATGAAAAACCATGCAACAAAGGATGTCATAAACATTTAAAATTCAAACTGGGAAAAATATTTTTAACATATGGCAGGACAAATGGTTGTACTGTATAAGTATTACACATTTCGATATGAATTTATGCTACTATGATGATTAGCAATGTAATTAATTTAGGTCTCATATTTATTTTTGTCAGTTTAACTCCACAGGATTCAATCAGCTCTATTTAGTATATAAAAAAGCACTGACTCTGCCATTGTTCAGGGGCTGATTTTAAAATTGAGGGATACCTGGAAAAAGTCAAAGTATATTATTATTCACTGACAGGTATTAATGATTTAATAAAAGGCAGGAGGGATTACTTAAAAATAAGGTCAGAAATATAAACAGAACTCTGATTAAGAAATGTGCTTATCTTCCCATTCTGTCGTACAAGGGGTCGCTGTGAATCAGAGCTGACTCGACAGCATCTAACAACGACAATACCAACCAACGCAATGCTTTGGAATACACATTATATACGATTAATGACATTATATACACATGTATGTTTTGAGTATCTAGTTACCGAAATGATTCTCATTCAAACTAATTACTTACCTGCTTACTTCCTGGAAAACCTAACTGGAAGCAAAGCTAGACTTCAGAAAAAATTAGAAGCACTGCAGACGCAGATATAGGGGTAGGCCCAGGAAGCTGCACTGAGACAGAAGGCCCCAGCCCCGATAGCTTTAAGTCCTTACCGTTTTGGCTAAGATTTAAGACTTCCACTAAGAAATGAGTTCCCTAAGTGCAGGATGGGAGCAGAGTTCATCAACTGGGGCTGAGACATTAGAATCAGTGTTGTATTTACATTAAAAATACAGATACGTAATTTTCTTAAAAGCTGAACTATACGAGTTTTCCGAGTTGGATGTTTCACAACCCCTCCCCCACCCCTAAATCATTGCTGAAAACTAATTCAAAAGTTTATGATCCAAAGAACCCCAAAATAGAATCAATCTGCCAAACTGGCTCTATGAGAGAAAACTTATGGAACAAGCTAATGCCTCTCTTGCATCCTAGCCTACAGTTGCTAATCCTGGGAGCATTGTCATACCTGACTCAGATACCAGCGGTACATGGGAGAGTCTGCTCCTGGCCCTTGTTAGGGGCCTCCGAGGATAGTCTTCATTAGACTGCACGTCACAGCTCTCAGGCTGGGAGCTCCCCCTCCTGTCCTCACCTGTAGCCCCAGAGCCATTCCCATTAGTCCTCTCATCATGTGCTGGGCCTGAAGACCCCCCGTGAGGCAGAGTCCTAAAGGAAAAGGCGGATCTCGTACCATCCGGGCCATTCACAACACAGGCTCGGCTGGTTGAAGGACGTTCCTCATCAGAACACCTGCTAGTTCTCCTTTGGGATTCCTGGGGCCTGTGACAGCAGCATCTGGGGCAGACAGAACTCTCTGCATCTCCCTCCTCCATGGCCTCAGAGTCCTCTGACCCACCGGGGGAGCAGACACACTGCCTGGACACATCCACTTCTGTAGGGCTAGGCTCGGAAGAGCCGCCGCTGTTCACCGTCCTTACAAAGTCGGGGCTTTGAGAAGCAGTGCTGTGTGAGCTGGAGTTTCCCACTGTGGTGGCCGTGGTGCTGCTGCAGCTGGGATAAACATCCTTGTTTTTTTTCTTTTCAGGAATATCCCTAGCTGCTTTCATATCGGCTTTGATCTGCTCACTGGTGACCTGACAGCCTTTCTCACAGCTGCTTTCCTCGAGGGGAAACTGCTTCGACTGGCCCATCTGATGGGAGTTGTACCTCTTTCGAAGTGGAGTCTTGCCTTTTCCACTTACTGCTTCCAGAAAAAGAAGAATGGCCCGAGGAAAAGAAAAGATTTCAGTACAAATTCTGGACAAAAGGGAAGAGTAAATTCGGAACAGGAAACAATGTACACTAGTTTTCCTAAAATATAACTGTGATCACATCACTCATCTGCTCAAAAATTCTCTATGGCTCCCTAGCACCTACCAGGTTAAAATCCACACTCCTTAGCTCAGTCCTCAAGGTTCTCTATGATTCCAAACTATCTTTTCATTCTTGTCCCTTCTATCCATTCTATACTTTAGCCCAAACTTTTCTCTGACAATACCCCTGACTTACGACCTCTGGGTCTTGGCTCACACCAATTCATCAGCCTTGGATTTCTGCTGAATCTCTCTGCACCCCAACCCCAAAGCCATTGTAGTGTATGTCCTATAATAGCGTTATCTATGTCTTTGACCTGACATTTCAGTCAGACTGGAAGCTCCCTAGAGAGAGATAATGCTTTATTCATTTAATCCCTTACAGCACCTAACACAGTACCTGGGGCACAGTAAGGCTCAATGAATATATATAAAGAACTACTTAAATGAAGTTTTGTCTGACCAACAGAAGACCTAGTTTCTAAATTCTGAAATTAAACTTTCTAGGAAATGTTAGGTTAGTCTTCTGGTTATATTAAATTTCAGTTTTTATGTGGAACATTAAAAGCTTCTTTCAAACACAGTATAAAGACATCTCAATTTCTTAAAAGAAATAAAACAAAAATTCAGTATTCAGTCAATGGTTAGTAAATTATTCCATGTCTAAAGAGCCAAGCTTTCCACACACAGAAGTGTATGTATATTTCAGGTATAATGTTAAATATATACTGAACTTTTAAACATTTTAAGGAATAGCGTACCCAGGGATAAAGGAGTGGATAATTTCTAATAACTAATCCTTTGTTAAAAGTGGTAAGCATATATGGTTCTGAGAAACAAAAACGGAAAGATAAGGGAGAAGTATGAACCTAAAAGTTAAGAGAATTATAGTTTCTTGGTGAGGCAAACAACAGAAGGTTGTTGCCTACATTTAAAGAGAGGTAAAGGTTTATAAAAACATACTTTAGGACTCCCTCAAACACCAAAATAGTCACCAATGTTCACTAAGCACAAATAGACTATCAACTGGGGAACGTTGTTTTCACTGCTCTGGATTACTCTGCAGTCATTCTCTACATGAAACACCGGCCTCCTGCTTATCCCTGATACCTGATGCCACAACCTCCTAAATCCTCCACTGTGGGACTCAATCTTACTCCTCTTCCCTGAGCCCTCATTCCACACCTTTCTGCTGTACTACGCTTGCCTAGAATATATCCAGATTCCCCACTCATTTGGACTACCATCTTTCTCGCCACCTGTCACATTTCATAAGGAACAGGTTAACTGAACCGCAAGACATAGCAGGGACACATTACACAAAGGCCAAGTGTCAGTCTTCACAGAGACTCTAACAGGTCAGAATAAGACAATCTCTCACCTGACAGTTCCCTGGACTGCGCTGACTCTCCGATTTTCTCTTCACGCTCAGAGTAACGTCGAGCACCATTCTTAGGAATCCAGACTTCTTGGAGTTCTAGACTGTCTTCCTCATCATCACTCTCTGAATCATGAACAGTAATGGGGGTTGGTTTTACTACACGCTGAAGACCACTGGGTCCTAAAATAAAAAGCACAGGACTAACAGTTACTTTTGGCCCAAGAATGGCTCTCACTCAAAAGTACTGCTTCCAGTGATATGGGATTACAGAGATCCTTTGGCTCTGTGTAGCCACCCTTATTACTCACTGTAATAGAACATGTGCTTGGACAAGATACTGTGAAACCATTCTTCATCTGAAAAGCATTATATAAACATTAACCATGATTAATATGACAACCAACTCTATACATTCCTAAAGGTAAATTAAAATAGAACATATGGCATCCCTCTTCAGGAGATTCAATATTTCAAAAAGTCTCATAAACCAACCTAAAAATAACCAAAATAATAGTCATTTAAAAATGGACGGCGTATTTTACCTATTTTGCAAATATATGAACCAAGGTAAAACAGATGAAGATGAATCTTAAAAACATATGGGACTGGTAAACAACTCTCTGTATTCTCAAACTGACTATAGGCCTATCTAATTGTATGTAACAGATATGTTCTTAAAAGGCTGGATGTATGTTACATTTTGGTTATCTGAGTACTTCCAATTATTGCAAGACAAAGTGGCATTCCAATGGACCAAGAGTTAGAATATTTGAGTTCTAACGTCACTTCTTGATCACTAGTTGAACAGTCTTTAGCAAATTACTCAAATTTTTAAAGGAATATTAGCTTCCCCATTTGTAAAATGAAGGGTTGTTTTAAGTAATCTTTAAGGGCTACATGATTCTATAACCTGACATAAACTACCCAACAGCAAACAGAGACTAAATCTTGGTCCATTTACTAAACCAAGTCAACCCCTTCAAATGCCCTTATCCCCCATTGAAAAAAGGGAGGGTATAAGCAGAATATTTAACCAGATCATTTATTTTCACACTCTCTCACACTGGTCAATACAGAAAGAACAGTTGTTGCTGCAGTTTACTTATAATCAAAAACAAACTTTAATAATATATATCTGTATATTAATATCAACTTTATAGGCCTCAATAATAAATAGCACACAACACATCATTAGCTGTACGTTCCCAAATCAATCATTCTCGGTAATGTTACACTTTCTGCATTAGTCAGGCCCTAGTTTTCAGAGCCGTGAATGTGGGAAGCGTCACATGATTACCTGCTTGTTCCTCATCAACATCCACGGGAATAACTGCCTGACTGTGAGCTGGAGTCTCGTTCCCACTCTCAGCTACCATCTCTCCATCTTCTTGCACCATGTCTTCCATCTCATTCAATGCTTAAACAAAAATAAACACAGTCAGAGTAGAAACCAGGAAAGGATTAAAAACCACACTGGCAGGCACCTCTGAGGACTGAACAGCCTAGTGATTATTGGGCCCAGCCTGGAAGACCAGCTTATAACTACACTTCATTGTAGAGACATTAGTAAGAAGTGTTCAATCATTCTACAGAAGAGAAAATCAGATGGGAAAGGATCACTTGGAAGAGAAAAGTTCAGTACTATAAGATGAAAGGGCAGGGGGAGATGTACAGCTGAGAAAAGAAAGCACTGGATTCATCTCTGGAGATATTACCACGGATGACTGTATGAGGCACTTTTCCGTCTCTCTCTAAGCTATTGGCTACAAGGTGGTGAGAGCCAGCAACCAGGAAACTTTCTGATCATCTTATACGCAATGAGTCTTGTAGTCTCTGCCAGCTAAACCAGGGATGTACTGGGCAGGTAAGCTCCAACTGTACCTTTCTATTCCTATTTTCTAAAGGCTTCAGTTATCATTTTTTGGTTAATGTGTGGCAAAGATTATGAACAAATGCACCAAGTATATTTTTAACATATTAATATCATTCACATGCTTTATTTGTATCAGTCTTCACTTATGAGTGCCTATCAGTGAATGAGAACGTGATTTTATTCTTACATTACTGAGAAGATAAGCTCAGTGAACAATTTCAGACTGACAAGGTGCAATCAATGTACTTTATCCTCTTAAACGGTGACCTTCCCAAGAAGACTTGAAATAATTCCTGGCTTTACTAGCTTTTTACAAGATTAAATCCAAATCTCTCAAGTCAGTATTCAGGACACTCAATCTAGTACCTTCTTACCACTCAAACAACCCTGACTTCTCTCAATTTGAGTCCGGACAAGAGCAGTACCATCCTTCACATTTACCAGCTAAGCTATAATCCAGAGGGCAGAAGAGACTGTGTGTGCCTTGTTCATCACTAGATCCCCAATGCCTCGGTGCTCAGTAACTATTTGATGTGAAATAAACTGAGTGAAATAAACTGAGTGAAATAAATACATCTACAAAGGAGAAAACAAGATCCTGCTCTTGAAAGAACTAAAGAATCTCCTTAAGGAGACAAGACAAACTCATATGATTAAAACAATCAAGGCAAAATATGATTACGCCAAAAAGATACCATTCAGATAAATGTCAATGAGAATATACAGTATGAGATATGAAATTTCATGGTGACAGGGGACATGCAATATACAACAGCTTCTTTCCCCTTTTGCTCACCATCCTCTTCTGAATTCTTGCCCAGTTCCAGCCTACATTAAAATAGCTACATTTCTTTTCAGGGCCAAGATGAGAATCAAAATTTTTCTAGAAACCTTCCATGATAAAAGCCAGTCAATTTTCTTCTTTCACCCAATCCTTATGAACAACAGCTAATAATTAATGCGTATATCAGGAACTATGCTAAAAGCTTTACATGTATGATCTTATTTGTCACAGTAATAATGAGGGAATTAGTACTGCCTCATTTCTGCAGTTAAGGAAATTCAGGCTTCTAGAGGTAATCTGTCCAAGATTACACAGCTAGTTCTCAGATTTGACGTGACGTCTGTTTCAAGAGCCCATTACACTACAGGAATTATGAACAGAGGACAAGTTACAGCCTCTGCTATCGAGGAGGACACATACATTCTAGCAGGGACATCAGACACATAGAAAATGGTCAGAATATACTTGCTAAGTGCTAGAACAGTCCACAAGTACAACAGGAACACAGAGAAAGGAGCAACTAATTCTCCTGTTGGGACACAGAAGGTTTCACTGAGATATCATTTCATGTATTCCATACCAGGAATTATATTTTTTCAGAAGAGTGAGTTGTCCAGTGATATCAAAGAATAAGTATGTGTACTGCGATGAGGATGTGAAAGAGAAAATAAGGCAAAAATGTAGCCTGGGCCCCAGATTGTGAAAAGCCTTGCTGAAGAATTATTTCCTAGGCAGAGGTGAATCACAAAAAAGTTTTTATGCAGGGAATGGCATGAGCAGAAATACATTCATATGTCTATGTGATAAAGATTTCCAAAGCTGCTGAGCACTGTTTTTAGGCTGCCAGAAAAACCTGCAGAAATATTTAATACCCAAAAGTTGTTCTAAACTTAATTTATTTTCTTGTATTCATCCATTCAAACACTTATTAAGCACCAGCTGCAATGTGTTAGTTACTGTTCTAGGTGCTAAGAAACAGTGGTAAATATTCCAGATCTCTATTCTTGTGGCACTTAATCTAGTTCAGGGAAGGAAAAAACAATTTAAAATAATAAAAACATCAGGCAGTAACATCTTATGTAACAAAATTAAAAGAGGGTGATGTGATAGAGAACAAATTGGTGGCTACTAAAGATAAGGCAGTAAGGGGAGATATCTCTGAGATTAACATTTAGGCTAAGATCTAAAAGTCTAGGAGGCAGTCATGCAAAGATGGAGGGAGGGACATTCTAACAAGAACCACTTGTGCAATGGTAGATGCCAGCTTAGCATGTTCAACCACAGTGCGTGAGGCAGAGAAGTAGCACAAGATGAGTGCAGCCCAGGTCATGTGGGCCTTATAACCTCAATGAGGAAACTAGATTTTATAGTAAGACAGTGGGAGGAAGTACTGGAAAGTTTTAAGTAAGGGAGCAATGTAAACCATGTTTTAAAAACACCACCCTGGGTGCTCTAAGAATTCATTTTAGCTGGCAAGAGAGGAAGTGGAAGACCCAGTAGAAGACCATTAAAACATCCACCCCAAACCTACTAAATCAGAAACTCTGGGGTAAAGCCCAGTAATCTGTGTTTTACCAAATCTGCCAGGTGATTCCGATGTACTTTCAAAGTTGAGAACCACTGCTATAATTAAAAGCTGCAGAACAATTTCATTTAGTAGGTAATTTAGATTAATTGGGGGGGGCACAATACAGTACCATATTATTAAAAGAACACCTGGGATGTATGCTTTAAATCAAGATTAAAAAAAAAAAAAAACTAGTTAAATGATGTATAGGTAAAACTATGTTCCATGGTTAGTTACTTCAAAAGTAATTACATTAAAATAATTTTACAATATGCTTTAGCAATTAAAGTGTGATTTGGACACAGCAATTTTATGTTAGGCAAAGGTAAACTGTTAAAAGATGTGAATATCTATTCCTCTGTTATAAAGTGCTGCAAAATTCAGGTAATGAACTTGTATTTTCAGTTAACATAACTAGCCTACAATAAAGCATTCTAAATCGTAAGACTTTTAGAAGTACAGACCTAAAGAAGATAACATTATCGTTGTGTGCCGTTGAGTCAATTTCAACTCATAGCAACCCTACATGACAGAGTAGAACAGCCCCATAGGATTTAGTAGGCTGATGGGAGCAGATCTCCCAGTCTTTTCTCCCACGGATCCCACGGAACAGCTCGGGGGGGTTGAATGCAGATTGTTCTGTTAGTAGCCAAGGGCTTAAGTATTGTGCCACCAGGGCTCCTTAAAGAAGAAAATATCCTTACCAAATTATGAAATTTTGGTAAACAATATAGCTCTGTAATACAATAAAATGTTTCTGTTGGAATCATATATAATTTTAATGACACTGCAGTTATTACAGTAGTTTATAGCAAAGTCACTTTGTACAAATCAAATGGCTTCCAAAATTACGTCTTTCCTTTAAAGATGTGGTGAAAACCATGAGAAACGGTGCCCTATAAATTAGTAAGTAAACACATACCTTGCTCACTGGTTAATCCACCCAACTGTATGTCTGTGTGTACATCTATATGTATACATAGATATATATGTGTGTATATATATATATATATATAAGCAAATACAAACAAAAGGTCCATGCAGTCTAATGTTTTGTACCAATCTTCATGACATTTCTCTACAAATGCTGCCACTGTCTTTGGTGTCCTCATGGTTCTTGTTGAAGCCATCATTCTTCAATCCTGGCTTTTCAGCCTTTAATGGCATCTGATGATGTCATACTTGCCAACAGTCCTTCTAGGTAATTGCTGAGGCTGACTCCTTTCACAAGGATTACAACATCTAAGTCAAAACAGCCTTTTCTAGATCTTGAGTATTGGATTTGTAAACAATTTTTTGGTCTACTAAAACCATATTTATAAATAAAATTTTAACTTTATAAACCATATTTATAAAGTTAAACTTTAACTTGAAGATTTAAGTTCTACTGTTCTCGTCTAGAACCAAATGCAGAATGTTCTTGCATGTTTTAGTTCTTGCTATACTGACATGTGATTTCACAAAGAAAAGCAGTCTCCACTCTGTACTGAGAAGCCTACTGCCATATAACTTTGCAGCAGAGTCTACGTAGTCTGTTCAGTACATCAACTCCAACCACAATCAAGTTCATAGGATTTAGGTAGTTCTGCACTGCAGCTATTGTAAGTTTCCCATGGGTGGTCTGTGTGCTCTGAGACCTTTACGGTGCCTGCAACCTGTACAATGTTCAATGGCACTAAGGGACGAGGCAAAGAGACGTACTTGACCTCATTCTCTCTTCTTCAACTACTGCACCCACTGGCTCTGCACTTTTGTTTTTTCTATTTGAGGGGAAGGTGTCAGGGGGGAGATTTGGCCATGGTTTTAAGTTTGAAATGCCTAAGAGGACGCATGTAGAAACGAAAAGTCAGTCGGTCAGATATAATGGTAATTACTTCAAAAAGAATTAACGTAAGACTGGAAATAAAGGTTTGGAATTCATTAGTATATAGTTGTTACTAAAGCCATGAGACTAAATGAGCTTAATCTAGAGAAAATGTTTAGGGAGAAAAAAGGAGATTCAGGACAAAAAAGTCGAGGAGGTGGAACAAGGAAATGAAACTGAGGAGGCATATCCTATGATAGGAGAAAAAACAGTGATAACAGTTTCAGAGACACCGAGAAGTATTTCAAGAAGGCAGAAGTGGGCAACAATGTCAAATAAGATGAGAGTGGAGAAATGAACACCAGATTTGGTAAAACAGTCACTGGTGACTTTGCCAAGAGTCAACATGGAGAGTTCTACTGAGAACATGTAAAGACAATGCCTACAGATGATTCTTTGGACCCTATTTCTCATTAATTACTGTCTCCAAGAGACTGGACAAAACGGCAACAACAAAAAGATGGCTAGAAAATATTCCTTTTCCAGTTCATAAAGGTCAACTGGAAAACTTGATAAGAAAACAATCTCCCTCCATCCTCACTCATCAACAGAAGGGCAGATACGCCTATTTGCACATAGGCTGACACATAGGAGGTGTTGGCAAATACTAAAGAAGTGGATAATTTATATAACCAAAATCCAACAGGTCTTTATTAGCTTGTGTGCTTCATTTGCCGGGTGGTTGTGTAGACTAAATGATTAAAGAAATGTGAAAGGTGTCCAATACAATGTCTAGTACATTGTTAGGATTCTTTCTTTCAGTTTTGGGACTTCCAAAAATGGTCTCCACATTCAAGCCGAATGTACCTATCCACTGGTGAGGGAGATATTAAAAGATGCTCCTTTACCTAAATTCTGAAAGTTAAGTCTCAGTTAAGCCTCTAAGGCTATCATTGTACCCTAATCCCCAAGATATCTATCAGCCCTTCCCATCCTGTAAGTACCCTTACAGAGTCTGTGGACAAGAGGTATCACAAGGATGGCTTTGAAACAAGTAAGCAGATAAGGAAATTTCACCCACCCCCTCATCTGCCTTGTCAACTAGCTCCCCTCAATGTGAAAAGTGACAAGCTGAAATAGGAGATGGGAGAAGGATAAAGTTGAAGAAATAGGATCCAAAGTAAAAATCATTTCTATCGGAGCTCACAAAAGATCTGGGTTACCGTCGGCTGCAAACTGCTGCTCTCCTTGCTGCAGGTCTTGCCGAAAGTCATTCTCCTCATCTGACTCATCTGGATGATGGTGATTGTTGTCGTGGATGTTGGCATTGTTATTCTGGGCATTATTATCATTGTCATTATTGGAGTTTTGGTTGCTAACAAGGGCCGAGGAAACCCCAATTCCCGTGCCAGCACTCAGACCAACTCGAGCACAGCCCTAAGGCAAGACCAAACCACATGCTTATTAACTTGGGTTAGCATAGAACACTTCATTTAAAAATATCCCTTCATTTCATCCTTACATAGGAACTAACATTTATGTAGCACTTGACAGACTTATGAAATGCTTTCATATACATATAAAGGATCTCATTTAAGGCTCACAACACTTCAAGCAAGATAAAGTGTTATTAGCCTTGATTTATATATGAGGAAACTGAAGTGCACAGTGGAAAGAGATCTGGCCAATAAAAGCACACTGTCAGTAAGTGGTACAGCCGGGACATGAAACTCAATATTCTGACCTCAAACTCTGAGCTTCTTCCACTATACTGCATTGCTTCAACAGTGGAAATGTAACCATTAAGAACTGATGAGACAACTTAATCAGCTGAGGCATTAAGTTTCTATTACCATGAGAATCTAGATATCTATCTGTTAAGCAGTTTTAAAATAACATTTTATACAACTGGGCAACCTCAGATTTCCCAGCATATCTAACTGAATAGCCTAGATGGCAGCAAAATAAAACATTTCCAAAATAAATTCCTATTTCTTGTTTATTTACATTTTGGGTTTCTGATTAGATATTTAATCTCCCAATTAGCTACTCTTAGAAATAATTTTTGTGTTAGCTGACACTTCCATCCTTACCCTTACCTTTCCTTCAGCTTACAGAATTGATGGAGACAGCTTTCTACTTACTCTTCCCTTTTCCTTCCCTGGGAACCCTTTAATGCTCATTTACAAGAACAAGAAGCCATGCATTATTAAAGTTTTTATGCCTTCACTGAGGCTGGCAGTATAACCCAATTACAACACCATGAAAGCATATTATTAAAAAAGATCACTTAGGTTGAAAAATTCTCTCAAATGTGACTTGCCTTGGGTGGTTCACGAAACATCTGGTCCAGTGAAATAAACTCCAGGCTGGGCAACAATTCAATAAACTGGCCAAAAGAGTCCAGCTTCAATGCATGGCACCGCACTAGGTTGATATCAACCAATCGAGTCCATCTTGAGTGATCTGTTGAAGAAATGACATGGCTGGAGAGAGTTTAAATTACACTTTCCCCATTACTGAGGAATTCTGCTGTAGCTCTTCAAATCCTTATTCTTTAAATAATTTTTTCCCCTTGTTTCACGATCTTTAAAACTGATAAATCCGAACTATGATGTTTTCCTTACCTAATTCCATTGTGAGAACTACACAGATGGCCTGGGAAACATTAAGTTGAAATCAAATCAGCCCTGATTTAAACGTGATCTACTTAACACCTTGGTTAAGGACACTGGTTAAATAAAGTATGGTATATTCATTTAATAAAACATGATGCAGCTATTTCAAAAGAATGAAGACAAGCTAAATATGTTTGTTGATAAGGGAAAGCTCTGCAAAACATATATAGGGCAAAAACCAAGTTACAGTATGATCCTTTTGTATATATAAATCATTTTTAAATGCTATACATGTATAGGCTGTAATATGTAAACAATAATTTGCCCAAAAGAATATACAAGAAACTGTTGATGGTGGTTACCTTTGAGAAGAGGAGACTTTTCATTTTGTACCTTTCTGTACTGTTTGAAATTTTTTATCAAGTGCATGTATTACTTTTATTTTTTTTAAGTGTTAACAGGAGTTCTGAATGATGGGATTATAGGCCATTTTTTGTTTTCTTCTTTATACTCTTCTGTATTTAAGAAAACAAAACAAACCAAAAACCCAATAAATGTTTTTTTTTTGTTTTTTTTTAAGTGACCTATGCCTGCTATAACCTGAAGTTAATACTTCCAATAACTTCTTGGTTCAGATGGACCAGGGACAGAATTTAATTTCTGGTGGGTACCTGAAACATGGGCCATTCTAATTAATGATCTCAGCAGAGTCCAGAAAGCCCTAAGATGGGCTTGGAGACCAACTCTGAGGAGAGACAGAATTCCTGTGAGGCGACTCATAACGGCCGAGACTGACTGTTCTTCAGGTGCCAGGGAGGGAGTTTTGTTAGGTTAAACTAGATGTCCTAATGAAAACTTCCAACTCTGACTCTGTTTAAAGGCTTATGTATTTAGGTATTTAAGAGCCTTGAAAGCCACAAATAGCATTCCCCTCTCAGAGAGAAAAATGAACTCTACTAAGGAAAAATATCACGTGCAAAAGTCTCATTTCTACATAGGACGGGACAGGATGGGGAAGGGAGGACTGAATTATCGTCTAGGTTTTCAAGTCAAGGGAAAATTCCACCTTAGGTTAATGTTTCTGGACATACGTACCTACTTTGTTCTTTCAGATGGTGTGCCATCTGGAATGTAACTCAGTGAAAACAACTATAGAATGACAGGCAACAATTTTTAACCTTACTTTTACGTGACCCAAAATAGTACATATAACGATCAGTGCACTTGAAAGCTATAACCTAGACAGTACAAATATCTAGAGTTCAAAGATACATTGAATATACTTCCAACTTAGTTATCAAAAATTGTCAGAACTTGTATAAACAATCCACATAAAATATCTACATTTTACATGAGCAACGCACTCATAGCACCACACACAGAAAACAAAGACACTTATTTCAATATCAATAAAATACAGCCATATTTCTAAGTTTACAGTACCTGAGATCCAATTGTATGGGTTATGTAGATGGGGGCAATTGTAAATTGCCAGATATTTGATACAGGAAAAAACCTCATTGACTGCCTTCATCCCTATATCAGTGATGATACCAGGATTTTCTACCACATCGGCTAAACCATACTTCACCAGATCTGCATTAGCCATTCTGCCTAGAAACAGAAATTAATTTCAAAAAGTACAAATTCTTAAGTGTCACAGAGTATTGCCAATTCTTTATCTTAGCATTCAGTATGATCATTCTGCATAGTCTGTCCATCATCAGGTTCAGATTTGGGTATTGCTTTAAGTTAATTATTCTGTAAGTAAGCTAGCATTTCTTCTGCAAAATAAAAGTTTATATAAAAAGTCAGGAACAGCTAATAGGAAAAAAATATTTCCAATTGCTTAGAAAAGGAAAAATGTGAAAGCAAAAATTCATAAAACATGACTGAGGAATATATATCACATTGGTTCACACTTAAGGCGAGGCTTTAGTTTTATCTTTGAAGGAGGAAAATAAAATCTCAAAAATGCAAGTCCCTCTCAATATAACGATCATGTTTTTGGAGGCTGGTGTGGCCATGTGTAGGGAAGGATAAACTTGGGGAATTCAGATTCATTTTTAGAGCCCATGGTATGGGTTGGTAAATATCTACCTATCTCCTGAAAGCTGACGTCTAACTTAAATACATCTTCTCTCACTGCCACTGGGCTTTACTTCCTACTGTCTTGTCACCAACTGGGGGGTGGGGGGGAGGTGAGTGCAAGTAAAAGAGGATGCTCTAGCTTAGATCATTTTACTGAGATTTATACCTCACCCCTTGCCTCCTGTCATTTCTCCCATCTGCCTGCCCCTCAACATAAAGAAAACAAAAATCCTCACAACTGGACCAATAAGCAACATCATGATAAAGAGAGATAAGATTGAAATTGTCAAGGATTTCATTTTACTTGGATTCACAATCAACACCCATGGAAGCAGCAGTCAAGTAATCAAAGAATGCACTGCATTGGGCAAATCTGCTACAAAAGACCTCTTTGAAGTGTTAAAAAGCAAAGATGTCACCTTAAACACTAAAGTGCCCCTGACCCAAGCCATGGTGTTTTCAATCACCTCATATGCGTGCAAAAGCTGGACAATGAATAAGGAAGACCAAAAAAGAACTGATGAATTGACGCCTTTGAATTATAGTGTTGGCAAGGAATAGTGAATATACCATGGACTGCCGAAAGAACAAATAAATCTGTCTTAGAAGAAGTACAGCCAGAATGCTCCTTAAAAGCAAGGATGGCAAAACTACATCTCACATACCTTGGACACGTTATCAGAAGGGATCAGACCCTGGAGAAGGACATCATACTTGGTAAAACAGAGGGTCATCAAAAAAGAGGATGACCCTCAACGAGGTGGACTAACACAGTAGCCGCAACAATGGACTCAAGCATAACAATGATTGTGAGGATGGCAGAGGACCAGGTAGAGTTTTGTTCTGTTGTAGAGTTGCTGTGAGTTGGAACCAACTCAATGGCACCTAACAACGGCCTGCCCCTCACTTTTCAAGATGGTCCAGTCTGCTTGACTATGAGCTCCTTGAAGAGATTTTATCTAGCTAGTTCAGTTACATTTTCACTGTCTACAATAATGCTGGGCATATATAATATGCCCAGGAGCTTCATAAATGTCTCCACGTTCCTTGCAATTAAATGACACAAAGTATTAAAAAAGCATGATCTGGTGAAGGTGCCCTGCACATTATACACCTTTAGATTGGAACACGTTTAAAATAATCTACTCCAAGTTCTTCCAATTTCACTCCCCATATGGTTCTCAGGTCTCTCTTCTATAGTTCCTGATTTTGGTATTTACTGGCATTTCCTTCAGCTTTCACTTAATCCATCCTTCGCAACTTAGCTGAGTGATTTTCTTTAGCCTCCTGGTTACTTCCTAAGAGCTAACTTTTCCTTCCCTTTGGACTTGAGATGAAACTTGTCCTTTTCCTTAAGACAGAGGAAATCTTGAACTGACTCTATTTCCCAGACTCTGTCTACAGAAATGATCCAGCCTAACGTTACAAAACCACGTCTTGCATTCAGCCTTTTAAGTGTTCCTGTGCTCAGGGCTTCCTGATTGCCACACTCCCTCAAAACCTTAACGACAGCACCTGGAATTCATTATTGTTCTTTTTCTCTTTAGACCACAGGTCACCTAAAAGTAAAAGCTACCACTCAATTGAATGCTTCCTAAGTATCAGAAATTGTTATAAACGTATATATCATTTTTTCACTAAATCCTCATAACCACCCAAGAGAAAAGTGGGAAATGGTCTTACCTCCATTTAACAAATGAAAAAACACGGACTTAAAAGAAGTTAACTGACCAAAGGTCACATGATGAATAACACACAAGCCTCAATTCCATCTCTCTCCAAGCCCCAGCACTGAAAGGCTACACTATACTGCTTCTGAAGTTTTTTAATCAGTTTCACACCCGTTAATCTCACATGAAATTCTGAGATCATAAATCTATGTGGACAATTAGCTCTCTGAGTACTTATTTCTGGTCACTGCTTTTTCTCATATACATTATCAGAATCTGAACTCAGCTCAGTCACTCACCTATACCAGTCACTTTTCCTATATTCCTAACACACAGCATCTACTTTTTAGCACATCCATTTCCTCAATATGGCACTGTCACTCTTACCATAAATTTTGAGGGCAGTAGGGAGTGATTTTATTTATCTACTTTGCTAGACCTTTTGTAACAAAAAATGACAAGTTTACCAAGGATCACCCTCACCTCCTGGAGAGATGTTTCAAAATCTAAAATACTGAGAAGGGAGAGACTAAACGGAAGGGCGTGAGCAGTGACTTCTCACTCCTGTCTAGATGATCCAGTTAGAGGGGCACGCTGGCACCTGTTCAGAAACACAGAATCCTAGGAAGTCCTGGGAGGAACACAGGACAGCATGTATATGGGAGAAGCCTCACTTCTAGAAATGGATGAACTACTGAGAATATGAAGAATGGTTCGTAAAAAGGTCGAAAGTAGAGACTACTAAATATCAAAGAGATATGAAACAAGTTATGGTGAAAAATATAAGACAATTTTTGTCAACAGTCAAAAAGGTAAAGTGATTTTTATGCTGTTGAAAGTGTGTGTTAAGGAGAGAGAAATACAATAGGGAAGTAGCTGGTTACAGAGCTAACTCTCAAAGGCAATTCTTCAGTGGACCTAGACGTGGCCACCCTTAAAAAACAAAAAAGGATTTGTCAACTTTTTAGCACTTCGGAAAAACAAAAAGGAACAGTATAGAACAAATACCAATTACCAAGCTAATTGTTTAGTTACTACACAGGTACTGTAGAAACAGAGAGAATGTTAGCAACCTCAGTCAAAACTGGAAAAGTTTAATTTCAAATACATCAATTTTATATGAAATAACTATCCTAGGTTAGCATTTAAAAACTATTTTGGTGGAAAGATGATCTTTTTCAAAGCTGTAAAAGTTAAAAGCCATTCCTATAATAAACTGGCTAGAAAATGATCTGATTTTTAAAATAATTCTTCACTTATATATTAATAAGAACTACAATAATGAAAAAGTAAAAAAGCAAAACAAAAATACAACTATTATTGTGACATGTATGTTAGAAATTAAAAGTCATGTTGGTTGTTCTGGACTGTCCTGGACAAAAGAATTAAACCTTCTTACATGCTACAATGTAAATTATATCTAAATAAAAAAATGTCATATGATGTGATAGTGATAGTTCAAGAAAGACAAATTGCAAATTACATGGGGAAACAACTGATTCTTGGAAAAATAAAAACATGCTAGTGGTAGGAATTCCTTGCATGTCTGACTAATGCTATAAGGAAAAAAAGTTTGAAAAATGAACTGACATGCATTCAAACCCAAAGGAATGAGTTCCTAGTTGTAAATGCATTCTAGAAAATGCTGTGAACAAGCCTTCCAACAGCAATTGTCATTAAATGAATACTGACCATTATGTGCTCACACTATTTGGAAAATCCAGAACCCCCAGCGGGCTTATTATGGAAATGAAGAGCATGGGCAGGGAATGGCACCTCATCTGAGAGGGCCATCAAAAGCTTCAAGTGTGGCAGATCAAATTCAACAAATGGAACCAAGGATGACATTCTGTGAAAAAAAAAACGAAGCAAAATGGGAAAGAAACTTGGGCAATAAAGCGGAGACATTATCAAATGTAGATAAGAATCTTTTGTTGGCAATGATAGATTATCTACATATTCTATAATATGCCCAAATCAGAGGCAACATGGGGGGAAAAAATCACTGACATTTCTATTTATAGGTTTCTTTTTCAAGAAGTGAGAGCACCAAAGATTATAAGTTATCTTATAGTCAGGAAAATAAGGCACATCCCAATTTGGGTCTCAGTTTGTCAAGTAAGTTCCCTGCAGCAATTCTAGGAAATAAAATGGAGTAATAAGCCTTACTCTGCAGCAAAAACTCATCTACATATCCCAGATGAAGGGTTTCAAACTGGGGGAACTCCAACTCTGCCATCTTTAAGGCAGAAAAGACACCATCTTTGGTTAGAGAGGGCTGGATCCGAACTTCATGTAACCTATGAACAAAGAGATACAAGTCAGAGTAAAACGAAAACCATCAGAGTCAAAGGACCCCCTTAATGTGAGGCTCTGAAAGAAGTTTATAATCTCACTGAAGTTTCACAGATGTCAACAACTTTCCCTCCCTCCATTAAAAAGTGTCAGAGATGTTTGCTTTAAAGGAGTCTTTTGCAAAGTATGGGCACATCTGAAGCAGCATATTGAAGCTACGCTAAGTAACAATAAATTACATGGTAAGAATCTTATTTCTTTTCCAGTGCTTTCTCAAACATGATTAAGTCATGGTGAAAATCTGAGTTTGGTGCTGTTATTTAATATTTTTTTTTCTAATGCTAGCTATTAATGTCTCGATTTAACAAAGAGTATAGTTCTACAGTAGCCAACAATACCTATTTGGTAAAATTTAGAAATACTGTTTTGCTTTCTCTTAATTATATTGGAATACATAATCAACTACATTCTTCATTTCTATTGCTGGAAAGTGTCTTGTTTTTGAATAAGTTAGAACATCATTCAATCTAAAGAAAATATACAAGTAAAAAAGGCAGACATTTGATATATAAGAAATAGTAAATATAGCATAAAGTGATATGAAGATGTGGTAAAAAGTATAAATAAAGCGTTACAAGGTCAGAATTTTGGAAAAACTGATTTCTAAATAATAAATATTACTGACAAACTAAAACAATTCAGAAAATCATCCAGAGATTGAGACAATGGTTCCTAAGTAGGCTGTAGACACCAAAGCTTCAGTGAGCAGTTCTGCTGGACTCTAAGGCACTTCCAGAATAGCTGACTGCTTTTCTTTGATATCAGACCACTCCGTTCCAGAGCTTGCTGGGTATGCAGTACAGTTCAACTGGTCCCCAGTTATGACACAAAGACTACCCACTAAGTGACACCCAACTGGTTACTGAAACAACTCCTTTGTATTTTAAATTTGAACAAATTTCATGATCAAACTTCACATATGCCACATGTACCTTCACCCAAATTTTGTAAAACAGGAAAAAACAGTTGATTCTGAGACAAGACACAATGTGAAGAGAAAACATACCTACGGGCTGCAGTGATGATGAGGTAACCAAGATCTACTTCAAGAGCATTTTTGCAAGCTCCCAAAACAATAGTGTGCAAATTTCTAAAGCCACCTGGTTAAAGAGGAAAAGGAGCAAAGGAAAAAAAATAATAATTTTTTTGCTCCAAGCACTTTTAGTTAGGTATTTAGACACACTTTAGATGATGGTTTGTTTAAAAGTAAATCTAAGTTTTGTTTTTCTATTCAAATTAATATCTCAAGATGAATTATAACTACTAGTCATTTCCTTAAAAGAGATGACAATGGATACTGCCATTCTGATAGCATACGAAAAAACATTCTGACTATATCTGAGAATGACTCCAAAAGATTTAAACTTTTAAGTAAGGACACTCACAAGACCAGTACTACTTTAACGTCAACTGATTCTCTTTCCATGTTTATGTAACTTGCATTTGCGTACAAAAAAAGTAACAGATTATTAATGTACAGCTCAATAAATTTTCACAAAATATTAGCTTTGCCTGTTTTCAACTCATATAAATAAAATTACACAGTATGTATACTTTTGTGTCTTGTTTCCTTTACTAAACATTTTGAGATTCATCCACGTTGTTGCGCGTGGCTGTTCTCATTGCTGCATAGTATTCCGTTGTATGAATACGCCACATTTTAATTATCCTATTGCTGATAGGCATTTAAGTTGTTTCTGTGTTGGGGCTTTTATGAACAATGCCGCTCTGAACAATCTTGAACATATCTTCTGGTGAACATACACATACATTTCTGTTGAGTTTAAAGCCAGGAATTCAATTGTTGATGTATGTATGCCAATGTCAGGAGATAATGCCAAACTGTATCAGTCTGCACTCTCACCAGTGGTGTATGAAAGTTCCTGCCTGCTGCATCCCCTGGACTCAGTGTAATCAAGTATACTTAAACTAGAATTGACAAAATTTTTGAAAATATAGTGCTTACCTGTCATTATATTTCAAAGATATTGAATGATAATGTTCATTTATTACTGAGGCTGTGGTATTTGATGTTTTTTCATTTAATTTCGGACATGCAAAGTTAGATTTTTAGTTTTTAACTATTAATTATATATCTAGCTAAACCTCTCTGTACTTATCTTGCAATAAAGTTTTGTTGCAATGAAGAAGATGCTTAACATTTAGCACATTCTATTACATATCATTATTTATAATTAAGGCATCTAAAGAGTGAAATATTCTTTCTTTTAAGAAACATTAGCTGATGGATGGATCAGTATCCAAGTGATATACCCAAAGGCATTTTATATACTAGAAACTACTAAAACAAAGAACACTGATATTACTGTCTGAGTTCTTCTGGAGACCTAAGAGTGTTCACGTCATAAAACACCTTATTGCCAAAGGCACTAGAAATCCCTGCTAACATTTCTCTAAGAACGATTCCAAATATAACAGGATGCACTGTTGACTAATAAGTAATAAGCCCGAAAATATACCTTATCACTCTACTACTAATTATGAGAAGGTTTGACATTGCATAAAAAGCAAATTATGCCTATGCTCGTGGTTACTTATTCTCTATTAAATATACCAGAGAAAGTATAACTACAGACCAGTGTTTATTTAAAAAAAAAAAAAAAAAAAAAACTTAAGAAAAGCTAAATAAAAACAATAGATTTTTTAAATTTGGTTTTTAAAATATTTAATAACTGAAGAAAAATGAATACCTGATCTCCAACTGTCTTCAACTACATGTTGGATAAGACCTCCAAGGAAGGGAACTCGAACCATTTCTAAGTGTTCCAAGTTTCGGGCAGAGGCTAAGCCTGTCACTAAAGGGACATATTTCAAGGAATTTGTGGGTCCTGGAAAAATTAAGAAAAAAAAAATATCTTCAACTGAACAATAAAAACTGCCTCAAAGATGCATTTTCAAAGAAGCAACTTATAAATTCTACGACTCAAAATGAAAGCCAACTAGTTGGCTCTCTGTGATTTATAAATCTTGCTACAAATGAAAGCGTGAGTTAGCCCATTAACTCTATCCCCCCAAAAATAAAAACAACCAAATCCAATGCTGTCGAGTCATTTCTGACTCATAAAGACCCTATAGGACAGAGCAGAACTGGCCCCATAGGGTTTCCAAGGCTGGAAATCTTTATGGAAGCAGATTGCCACATCTTTCTCCCATGGAGTGGCTGGTGAGTTCGAACTGCTGACCTTTTGGTTAGCAGCTGAGCACTTAACCACTGTACCATCAAGGCTCCTTAGCCTGTTAATAGTTTTACATATATATATGTGTGTATATACATATATACACACACACATATATATATTCAGCATAAAGATTTTTTAGTAACACTGTAAAGTTATTTAGTATTTTTGTTATTGTTGTAAATTCTCCGAAGTCTCAATATTTTTAAGCTCAAAACAATAAGGGGAAAAGCCATGTTGAAAATTTGATCCTTCACTCAAGTAAACATCTCAATCATTTAAACAATATCTGAAACTAGTGTTGTATTAGATGCTATGGAAGATCACAAAAGATAAAGAAGATACAGTCTTGTCTATCAAAGAGCTTAAAATCTACATGGAGATAAAACTAACATGAATAGTTACAAAAGGAGAAAAGGGTAGAACATAATCAAGTATGAAAATAAGGCGTACTATATTCCACAAAAAATAAAGAAATAAATAAACAAACAAGGAAGTAAAGAAAGAGGAAAGGAAAAAAAGGAAAGAAAGAAAGGAGAGGAAGTAAGTTAGAAAAGGCATAACTTAAAGGATGTGCCTAAGTAAAGAGGAGGGAAGAAGGGCATATAAGGAAAAGGAAAATGATTATACAGTATCAGCAAAGACACTAAGGTGGAAGCAGGTATGGTTGTCTAGGGGACGGTAAAAAGCAAAACTGGCTATAATAGAAAGCAATGTTGGAAAGGAGTCAGAAATAAAGGTATCAAGAGTAGGCCTGGTTATTATGAACCTTGAATATTAACATAGTAGTTCTGATTTGAAGCTCTTAGGGCAACAGGGATGCTGAAGGTTCATGAAAAGAATAATGTAATAAAGCAGTGTTTAAGGTAGATTAGGTTGGACAACTATTTACATGCAGGAAGGATTAGAGGACCAGAGGCAAAGAAAGCAGTCAGAAATCTATTACAATGCAAGAGTGGAGTAACAAGTGCCAGTAAGAAGAGACATTTTGACATTTTTCTTGCCAAGCGTCAAACATAACTCATTTCTAATAAATGTCTTTAAAAAGAAAAGCACATGACACTTTATTCACAATAATATCACCTTATCTACAAGTTACAAGATAAGTCACAAAACATAAATGTAAAAGCAAATATAATTTCATTTACAAATGTAGCTACGGATTTTGCTTTAGAATATTTTTAGAAGACAGTATATATGTCTTTTTTTCCCACCATAACTATGTATCATTACCTGCACAGTTCCTCATGACAAAAGTTCGTAAGCTGATGCAAAGAAAGTCTTTAAATGGCTGTGGTTTAGTAAGTCTGACCCACTTCATATAAAGATGCCTTAGCATTGGGATGCAAGGAATTTCAGGAACATTCACTCCTAAAACACATATACAAAAAAGAACAAACAAGGAAATCACTAAAAGACTCTGTGTTCTTTGCATAAGTGCAAGAATCTATTTTTCTAATGGACAATTTATCCTTTGTAGAGATTTTTATCACCACAAATTACATCAAAGTCTATCAAGTTTAACTTATTTAAAAGACGCTTTTAAAGAACAATTTAAACAAACTATAAAGACTATTTTGTTATTTTGTTAGCAAAAGCATATAGGAAAATGGGATTTGAAAAGTATTTCTACATTTTATAAATATAAATCTTTCTCATACCCTTATAATTCTCCCAGGCTACATTTGCCTAGAAGACAGAAAATGAAAGCAGGTTACTGAAAGCAAGAGTGTGAAGATGTCAAGGGAATACACAAATCTACTATTTTACTACCAATACCCACTGCCCCACCAGTAGGAAAACTAAATTTCTTAGCACAAAGTAAGGCTCACCTGTTGCTGTTGAGTCGATTCCAACTCACAGTGACCCTACAGCACAGAGCAGGACTGCCCCATAGGGTTTCCAAGGAACAGCTGGTGGATTCGAATTGCCAATCTTTTAGTTAGTAACTGAGTTCTTAACCACTGCACCACCAGGGCTCCAAAGTAAGACTAGCTAGCTTTAAATATTGTGGTTTCTAGAAGATATCCAGAGCTAGAGCTTGCAGCTGTTCTTTAAAATATATGTATCTTAAAGATTTGTAAATGTAGAAGCCAGCCTCCATGGCTCTGAGAAAGGGAGAAACCTGAGTCATTAATTTTAGTATTTCAAATTAATAATGGTATCTCATGCTTCTGCTCCATGAGTGGCTTAACGCTCAAAATCATGCTCACAGTGGACCATATCTGAAAGAAACTTGGCAAGGGAGGGGTCAGGAGATATGGAAGAAGAGAGATAACCCATAAATTCTAAATGGAAGGAAGCAACTAGAAAAACTTGTCCCCAAGAGTCGGCAGGCTACAGGTGATATGAGACTATAAGAGAAATCCAAGGATCCAGGGTGGTAGTAAAACCTGGTTAGTATTCTGCTACCAACAGTAACTACAGAACGCAAAACTGGCATACTTAGCGGTTGGTTCTTTAAAAGCTAAGCTCTACAGAATACTCCTACTCTAATCTATAAGCATTACTCCTTAACCTGCCCTCTCCAAAAGCATAGTTAACTTTAGCTTTGAGCTATGCACACACATTGTATGGCAACAGATGGGAAACAATGTGGGGGATGAGGCCAAAGAGAGAAAAGTAGAGGAAGTGAGGCACAGACTGAATCTCAAGGCGCAGAATTCACAATAATAAGCTCAGCATCTAACATGGATAGTGGTAGTATTGATTGGGAAAGATAATTAGGTAGCAAGGGTAAGAAAGATGCACAGAAGACTGTCATACCCTATTCCCAATCCACATTTTGCCCTAAACCCATTCTATAAAAAGGACACAATTACCTCCTCCCACAAGCATATTAATTTCTTATATACCTTTGTATGGCCATCACAGTAAGTGTGAACTGTTGAATGAATCGAATGAATTAATGCATTTCAACAAATTAACCAAGTACTTATATTTGCAATGAATTGTAATAGGCATCACGGGAAACATAAAGATATACAAAAACAGTCCCTGACTTCAGATATTACAGAATGCCTTTATTACCTAAAAATCCAATTTCCAACTTGACATTCAAGTCCCTAGTCAAATCACTCCCTGATCTTGTAAATGAAGGGTTGTTAAAGATCTTTACTCTTCTTCCATAAATGTGTACATAGGTCTTATTTAAAAATCAACTCCTTAGCAACCCTGCTGCCTTCCCCTCACCACCTGACCCATGCCAGTTTCAGAAATCTCCAATTCTTCAGGACCATCCCCAATATGTGGACTAATTCCTGGAATACAGCAGATACTCAATATGCTTATTCTGAATGAAACAATATTAAATAAATATTAAAGGTCAGACTACAGTACAAAAGTACCCCAAAATTTCTTTCAGTAGTCTAAGCCAAAGATGAAAATTAAATTTAAGAAACTATCTGTTGTTCCTTATCATTTACGTAGGCTGAAATCATTCTGATATACTTCCAAAGAATGTTTAGATGCACAGCGTGACTACTGCAAATAAATGCCTTTGGAAAAGACCACCCCTCCTCATTTCTCAGGGGAAAAGATTAGTGGCAGAGTTTTCCACTGGCTGTGGACTGAAAAACATAGTGGAATTTTTCTCTTGGAGAAAATAAAGGAAAATTAAAGGGCAGCTAAGAATTTTTTTGTTTTTTTAATTAGAAGAGGAAACGGGTTTACTCAGTGATGTTTTAGAGCTGTGCTGTATAACAGTCATTAGCTACCGGTGGCTATTTAAATGTAGATTAATTATAGTTTAAAAGAAAAAAAATTCAGGTCCTCCGTTTCACTAGCCACCAAACCAAAAACCAAACCAGTTGCTGTCAAGTTAAGTCCGACTCATGGCGACCCATGTATTGCAGAGTAGGAATGTGGTCCATAGGGTTTTCAAAGCTGTGACCTTTTGGAAGTAGACTGCCACCACCAAACCAACCAAACCCAGTACCATCAAGTCAATTCTCCAACTCATAGCAACCCTGCAGGACAGAGTAGAACTGCCCCATAGAGTTTCCAAGGAGCGCCTGGTGGATTTGAACTGCTGACCCTCTGGTTAGCAGCCGTAGCACTTTACCACGCCACCAAGGTTTCCAACTGCCACCACAGTGGGTACCGTATCAGACAATACAATTATAGAACATTAGGAAGGGCCTCCTCTAGAGGGCAGAACTAAGACTAACAGGTGGTTATTAGAGAACAAGGGTAGGATTTTAGTTCATTAAAAAAAAAAAGACCTTCAAAACAATCCAAACTATTTTTGGTTAAACAGTTTGGGTTGTTTCCAAAAGAGAGCAGACTGCTTGTGAAGCAGTATTATTTTTCTTTGAGGGCTCTTAAATGGGAAATCTGAATTTTTATATATGTCTCAGAAACATTTTTTTTTTGGGATCGCCCATCAACAAAGTCACTTCTAAAATTCTCATTATTCCTTTCCAGTGAATGTTCACAGTAGCATTTCAAGGAGTCACGAGTGACAAGAAACATGTACTTACCCACTAAATGTAAAGTTTGAATTTTGGCTCCTATAGGAATTTTCAGTTTATTTTCAGGAGGAATTGGAAATGCTCCATTGCGATTACGAAATTTCCCCAAAATATGAACATGTGGCATATATGTCCAAATAGATTCTACCAACTCCAAATGAGAAGTCTCCACACCCTAGAAAATAACATCAAAGCAAGCATGAGAAAGGCTTTTAATTTAGCATCCAAACCTTCTATTTCTGTATCATAAGATGCTAAGTATGTAACGGAACTTAAAATAAAAGCTTGCTATGGATAAAATTTGCATGTGAGCAAACATGTTCTCTTTTACAGTTCTTTTGGTTTATTATTTCTTCAATCAGTTGATATGAAAATGTTCAACCAGGAGCACTCACCACTAAGTTTGGGCATGCCTGCAAAGCTTCTAGGACTCCTGGAATGCTAAAGGCCTCATGGCCCCGCACCCTTCGCCTCTCAAGGTATCTAGGGTGAAGGCCATAAAGCTGTTCAACATCTGGCATCTTCTTCAACAGTGTTAGAAAACTGGAATCTGTAAAACCTGAGAAGTTCAGAAGTATTCAGAGCCAAGTTCATCTTTCTGTCCATCAACATTTATGACGCACTTGTAATTTTTATCAGAAGTGGGAAAAAAAAAGGTTTTCTTTTTAAATTTTCATAAGGCTAAAACTACAGCTTAACAACTGGTTGCAACAGAAAATATATTCCTTTGATAACAGAGGAAACATGTCAGAAACACCAATTATTCTGAATTAGTACTTCACAGCTGAGGTTTTTAATTGACTGCTGTTTTTAAGGCAACTAAGAACACACTTTTAACCCAGACGACTTGGACCTGTTTGATTGGTGGGTGGGGAGGGGCCGCCCAGCTGATCAATGCCAGCCTCCTCCTCTCCCTAAAGGGGCTCTCTGGTCTGTGAACCTCTAGGGCTCTCCTTAAGAAATGATTAAGACATGATCCTCACCTTCAGGAAGTTCATGGTTCTGACCTAATTCCTCTCTCAAATTAGGTTCTTTTTTCTACTCATTTTCTAATAATTATTTTGTCCTCTGTTTAACCATCACTCCCCTGGCCATTTTAGACAATTCATTCTTTTGAAGAAGACAGATGCAAAGTTAGCCAAGAGAACAGTACCAATCCAAACTGACAGGCTGCTGAGCTGACAAGAAGCCAGTTATCTGTGCTCCATAGCAGGAATCAACAAGATGGGAATGGAGAGAGGCAGGTTACTTCCACAGCAGGAGCTGCTGGTTAGGTAAGCAGGGAGACTAGTTTCATACGGATGGTATTTTATCTATTACTGGGGAATTTTTTTTCTCTTTCTTAATGGAGGATGTCAGAAAGTCAACTGCCTACCAACTAATAGTAAATATAAGTATTAACTCTCAAAGATAAAAATGAAGCCCCAAATGACTTAAGTCTTACATTATTAAAGTTTTCAAAAGTTGTTCTATTCGTGCAGGGCTAGTCTAGGTGATATGTTAGTTTCAGAATCACAAAACTAAAGAAAGGATCTCAGAGATTACTTGGTGTGGTGCAGTGAATGACTTAATATGACCCTTTTAGCCACGCATGGTCTTGTAACTCCCACACAATGACTGGGTGTGTCTATGTAAACAAGGTGCTTGTGGCCCACCAAGGGATTAGTAGCTTGCTAACAATACAAGTAAGGTACACGGAACCCTTGGGGGGGTGGCTGTTGTTGCAAGGTGCTGCCGAGTCAGTTCCGACTCATAGCGATGCTCCGTACAACAGAACGAACACTGCCTGGTGTACGGAACTCTAACAAGGTGATTGGTCAGTTTTGTCATCCTGGTGGGCTTAAAAAGAGAGTCAATCCCAGAGCAGAAGGGGGACCTCACTATCACCAAGAAAGAGTGGGTGTGGAGCGCATCCTTTGGACAAGGGTCTCTGTGCTGAGAACCTCCTAGACTCAGGAGACAAAGAGTTGTAACACCAGGAAAGTGTGAGATGGCAAAAAGCAGCAGCAGCAGAACCAGGAAACAGGCAAGAGATGGTGTACTGGGCTTCCCAGTCTATGAAGCTAGGCTGCTACAGTGGGCATGATGACCCACAGAGTAAGAGAGCTGAGCGCCTTCGGGCAGGAGGCTTGCTTGCAGCTTGCTTGCGGAGCGGGGTGCCTCCAGGCACCTGGCACGGCTAGGCTCGCCAAACAACACAGCAAGAGCTAAGCGCCTTTGGGCTGAAGCTTACTGGTATAGTTGGGTATTTCTAGGCACTTACTGGCAGAGCCAAAGAGCTCTGAAACACTTGCCAGAGCAGGGCAGAGGCCAGGCCAAGAGGCTGAGAGAGAGGCCTGCCTATGGGCATGGCCAAATAGCTGTCCGAACTGAAGAACTGTATCTTGAGTCGTTTCTGATCCTGAATTGTAACCTGTTACTTCCCTAATAAACTCCATAACTGTGAGTATGGTCTGTGAGTTCTGTGTGGCCACTGCAATGAATTATCGAACCCAGCAGAGAAGTAGAAAGTGCAGTAGGAGGAACGGCTAGTGTCAGAATTGAGGTGTGTTTGGCCTCCACCTTGTACATTATCAGTTTTGGGCTGATGCTGATCTTGATTCTCTCTCCTCCTCCTTGTGAAATTAGACAAGGTCAGACACCCCCCACCCCCCGCCATGATGCCATTTCTACACTTGGACTCTCTAATCATAATAACTATTTTTTATAATAAACTTTGTTGACTGAGTCATTAAGTGTGCTAAGCATTTGATAAGTTTTCTCATTTATTCTCACAAACCAATGAGAAAGGTGTCACCTCATTTACAAATATAAAGACTGAAGTTCAGAGAGATTAAGAACTACCAAGGAGCAGAGTCAGAATTCAAAGACAAGTCTGACCATTGCCAATGTCTATCCACTTCTGTTGAACATTACACTGCCTCTCACCATAAAATGGGAGCAGTTCTTTACAGAGATGGTGTGAGAATTCAGAGATCACATACAAGTACTACATAATCACTTTAGTTGGCATTACTATATAAGGGATCAGGGTTTAAGCTCCAGAAAGGAGAAATATGCCAGGGTTACATCACTGTAGGGTTAGTAAGATCTTATTCTAGGCTAGAGACTGTTTGTTCTTGTTCTTTTCTATTCTTTGGAGAGATGTGAAGCTTTGGGCTGAAAAGTATTTATTGCAGTTTGAAAGAAGTCAGCAACATGCAGATAAATTCTTCTCTAATTTGACAAGGGGCAGATATATTAATGTTAAGATTGCATCACACGGGCGCTGTGCTACCCTGCCTCTTTATATACTGCATTAATCCTATCTCCAGAATTCCTGCTAGAATAATCTCTGCTTGCTTAAGCAAATCTAATGTAAGGAACAAGGCAGTCATTTTCACACTGCCCCATTTTTTCTCTTTCCTGCTAGATAAGATCACTCTCAAATAAGATGAATCCTTTCCCTTGGGATGGCTTTTTAAGTACTTGAAGACCATTGTGCTTTGTCTCCCACCAAGCTGAGTTCCAGCCTCAGGTCTTGGCATTGTTTTTCACAAGAGGTGCAAAGTTGATAATTACTTTAGCCAAATAATAGTCAGGTTACTGATGACCCTCTTGAAAGGATCTAGCATCTCAAACTGCACAATATTCCAGTATCCCAGACACAGTGTAACCTCTGCAGAATGGAACAAGATTATTATCTCCTCAGCTCTTTACTTCTATTAAGCTCCCACTCCCATCACATTTTCAGTCTCTTAATCTGGACAAGATAGAAGAAAAGATGGTTAAAAAAGATTCAAACTTGCTGAACAACAATAACTAAAGGGCACTAATTAATGGATTGGTGTCAATTGAAAAGAAGCCTCAATTGGCCTTTAATTTTAATTCTTTCAGCCAGTGCTCTGCTTAGCTGAAGCCATCAACTTTCTTTTCCAATGGCCCCTTCACTTGAGGTCAATTTATTATGGTTAGGCTGCTGTGAGTTCTTCACCTGCAAGGCCACTGTCTTATTTCATAATCTCCAAGACCCACTATAGGTCTCCTTCAAGTGGTTAAGAAAAGAAAGTCCCAGAAGTGCAATTTCTGTGGCCTACTAGAGTAGCTTTACAAAAATAGATAAACACTTGTTTAAGCAATGGTGCAGTAAAGGTAAATAGGAAAACTATGATGAAGAATGTTACCATTCACCAGAAAACCTGCATCATACAGGATACTTGGTCTAATATTAAGCAAAGGCTCAATAAGTGTTTTCCAAACATATATTTTTGGAACAGGCTGAAGTAATCTCTTAAGGAGCAGGAAACAAAAAAGAAGCAGACCATTAAAACAGTAACGATTCAGGTAAAATGCATTTTACTAACCTATACCTTTAAGTTCTAATTTATAAAATCCTGCCTCCCTACTTACATGGTGACGTTCAATGCCTTTGAATGTTTGATAGGATTATTATTACTACTTTTGAGTAGGGGTCTACTGTGCCTTATAAGTTAAATTCACTTACCACTTGGCATGTATTCCCACCACCGCCCTGCACAGAGATCCACAACCCTCACAACTCTCAGATACAGGGTCACTGCTTCCTTTAGCTTCCGGGAAAGACATTCCATACACATGATATCCTGCAGAGGGAGGTACCTTTGTGAGAGAAAGAAACTCATATTTAACAGCAGGTAAGCACTTCCTCTCACCAACAGGTTATTTTTTCCTTTCTCTACTCTTCTACCCCTTGAGTGAAATAAGATCAAGGCACAAAAGATTCTCGTTAACATTCACCGGGTTTTAAGGTCAGTATACATAAGGTTATACAGGCTTTTACTATCAACAGGTAAGTAAGCAAATACTCAAGCACATAAGGTCCAAAGAAAATCAAGTATTGAACTATCTCCATAGGGCATTTGATAAAATCTGCCTTTTTCCTTTTAAGGTTTCATGGACAAAGAAAATCTAAAGAAAAATGAAAAAAAGAAAGGAAGGAAGGGGAAAAAAACAGAATGAAAAAAGAAGAAAATCTCAGTGTATTTCAAAGTATGATAAAAAAAATAAGATCAGAAAGAAATGATCAATTTGAATATGGCCAATATTCCTTAATCTTACAGAATCCATTTCCCGTGTAGGCAAAAAAAAAAATTCCTCTCTCCCTCTCCACACAACCTGCTTCCAAGAAACTACTACACTCTCCATTAGCAAATATGTGTAACTTTACAGGACACAATTTCTTTTACTAGATTTTTTTACCTTTTAAGTCACAAACTGATAAAAGTATTGCATAAGTATTAAGTAAGAACACCTCATATGAATTACAACTTCCTCTTTTCCAACCTTCCTTACAGCTCTTCCTTTCTGAAACTTTCAAGTAACCTCTATTTTTGTTTTCTATTTCCAGTAACGAATATATTTTGAAAGATCAGAAAATCTCTATCTCTCTTGCAAACAAAGTACTTTAATAACAAAAGTTAACATATCCATCATCAGTCAACAAAACCTCCGAGAAGCCTAGAAATGTTATACTCTAGAGCAGAGCTGTCCTATAGAGCTTTCTGTGACAAAGCAAATATTCTCTATCTGCATGTCTATGCTGTCCTATAGTCACTAGCCACATACGGCTGCTGAGCACTTGAAATACAGCTACTGCAACTGAGAAACTAGATTTTAATTTTATTTAATTTAAATGGCTATAACACCAGACAGCGTAGGTCTAGGGTTTAAGGTTTGCTCCTATTTATACGTTCCAGGTAGGTGAAAGTCAAGCCAAACAAAATGTTACCTAAAGATATGGCAAAGCACTTCATGTGAAAGTTGATTCATATAGTCCTTTGTTTCATCTGGTATTGTTTCCTCTGGGATTTCACTATTTATGAGACACGTTTTAACACTTTTCTTCCGTGGCCCCATTAGTGCGTTATCTTCAGTATCAAATAGCAAGTCTCCCTTTGGTTACTTCAGTTCAGAGCTCCTGAAAGTAAGCAGAAAATAAAGGATGAAGAAGCACACCAAACTCCGATGCAGAAATTACCCTTATAAGACCTAGGTAAAACAATGTTTATTTTAAAATACAGATACATCAAAACCAAAGAGAAAACCAAACTCGCTGCTGTCGAGTCGATTCTGACTCATGGTGACACTGTGTGTTACAAAGTAAAACTGCTCCACAGGGTTTTCTTGGCTGTAATTTTATAGAAGCAGATCACCAGGCCTTTCTTCCATGGCACCACTGGGTGGGTTCGAACTGCCAACCTTTAGGTTAGCAGTTGAGTGCTAACCGTTTGTGCCACCCAGGGACTTTTGACAGACACAGATCAGATATTGCTATTACAATGGTACAGACCACATTTAATTAATTCTGTGCCAAAAGACACAGAACATCTTCCTGTTGACAATCATTAGAGAATATACAAATGCATTATTCAGAATGAATGGAAATCAGGAGTCCTGGATTTTAAGTTGCACTCTGTTGCTCCCTAGCTAATTTATTCAATTTCTCTAAGGGTCAACTTCTTTATATACAAAGTAAGACCACTAAACTAGGTAACGGAAGCTCCTTCCAACTCCATAAACTTGTAATTCTAAGAATGCTCCTAACACAGTAAAAGAAGGTAAAGGGAGACTTTGGGGTTTTAGTCCTGGATCTGACACAACTATTTTTATGAACTTAATTCAATCTTTTAAATTCTTTGTGCTCTCACTTATAAAGTGAGGGGATTAGACTAACTCAGTGGATCACAGACCCTTTGAATTTTGATAAAAACTACAGACCTCCTCCGGAGTCCCTAGTTGGTACCAACAGGTAAGCACTCAGCTGCTAACTGACAGGCTAGAGGTTTGAATCCATCCAGAGGCACCTAAGAACGAAGGCCTGGTGATCTACTTCCAAAAAATCATCCATTGAAAACTCTGTGGAGCACAGTTCTACTCTGACACATGTGGGATCACCATATGTCAGAATCGACTCAATGGTGACTGGTTTGGCTGGTTTATATACATTCTCAAAAAATAAACACAATTTTATATACAATTTCAGAGGGAGAACAAACTCATATTTAGCTGGTAAGGAGAAAGAAAAACACACACACAAGAAAGGGGGCTGCTACTAGTCTGGGGTTATATATGTCTATTCTTTATATACCAGTACAGTGGTTCTCCATCAGGGAAAATTGTGCCCTCATCCCCCTATCCAGGGGACATTTGGCAATGTCTAGAGAGATTTATTTTCATGGCTGGGGGAAGAGTGCTACTGACACCCAGAGGGTAGATGGCAGGAATGCTGCTAAACATGCCACAATGCACAGGACAGTCCCCCCCAAAACAAAGAATTATTGAGCCCAAAATATCAACAGTGCCCAGGCTGAGAAATCATGTATTAGTGTAACTCTGCAAGCATTGATCCTGTCTACTTACGATACTTGCTTCCTTAACTTCTGACTGAAAAGACAATTTGCCTCAATTTTAAACAAACAGTACTAAGCACTATGTTAGTAGTATTTCCAAATGTGCAAATTAAACATCATGATATAACTGAAATATGTATTTTATACATATCTCTATTTGGGTATTTGTCACATTCTAACAAAGTTACTTGTTTATAGGTTTATGTACACAACTAAATTTTGAGTTTCTTGAGGTTACATTCTATATCTTATCCTTCTCTAAATCCATACTCGTATGTATAGAGACTGATGTATACTAAATGCTCCATATATCTTCACTAAATTAATCAGTATTTCTGGTAATTAAGCCTCCTGGACAAAGTCCAAAACAGAAACACATTCTATTATGCTGTAGATAAAGCGATATTCCCAGGACATGGTATTACAGAAGATTTAATAGTGTCAAATGACCCATGAAGCTGAATAAACACCATTGATCTTCCCTAATGAAACAAAATTGCTAAAAGTGATTATCTTGTGTAAAATACTGACAGAAGCTCATTTTCCCACAAGGTATTTATTTTTGTCCTTCCTTACAGTACTTATATTTTGGGCATTTCACCAAAAGAAGGAAAAGCAAAGCTAAGAAAACATACTAGATCTTAAATATTATTCTTATAGAATCTATAAAGACTTGTTTTCCTGTGGGTCTGCTTTCCCCTCTAAATTTGCACAATAATTTAGAGCTGGCTATAACAGATACTGACATGAAGCGGATTAAAAATTGTATGAGACCTTAGAGCTAGTTCTAGAAGCCAGGTGTTTTTCCCATCATGACACAGGGTCCCCAATGGCATTTTAGGCTATCTTGAATCACAAATGCGTTTTCTCTAGATTGTAAATCTGAAGAATTACCATACTACTATCATTGTTTTTCTTCTGCAGATAGTATTAACAGCTACATGGCTTGGATTTCATGGGGATAATTAACAACTAAATGAGATACCTGGAATAGAGGCACAACTAAAAGCTCAACTGTCAAAAGAATGGGACAAATAATGCCAGTCTGCTACTAATGAAAAGTACAATTTAAAAGCCTATGTGATCCAGTGAAAAAACACTTGCAAAACATATATTTAATAAAGGACTATTATCCAGATTTTTTAAAAAAAGAACTCTTACAACTGATTAATAAGATAACCTGGGGGACTTCCAGTTTTCTGTCTAACATGTAAAGAGCATGGAACTCATTACTCGCATTGTTACAAGAAAAATGCTGAAAAACTGAAAATCAAGAACTATGCTGACATCCGTCAGAGAACTGGGATCAAAGAGCAAACCACCACCCTGAAAACTGGAGATACAGTCAGATAGAGAAAATAGCAGGTGTGGGGGGGCCAGAAACCTCCACTGGACCCATCATGAGGTAGAATATTTAAAGGGTAATTGACTTAATTGCTGAAGACAGAGGATGAACTAGCTTGACAGATTAAAATCTCCTGAAGGCCCAGCCTTGGAGGGGAGGGGGAAATACTTTGGTGAATTTTCCTCCAGGAGCCACACTAGCTTCTCCCTCTGTGAAGAAAAATCCCCTAGTGCATCCAGTAGGGGAAGAGAAGAAAACCATTTTAAAATATGCTCAAACTATTTCACCAGAGCCCAACCAACTTGGGGAAAAGTAAATACCCAACCACACTCAACTCTAGTATTCAAAGTGGGAAAAGGGAAATACCCAACTCCAGCCCCCTCTTGCCTTCCTGTCTCCCATAAACCAAATACCCAACTCATAGCAACCCCACAGGGTTTCCAAGGCTGTAAATCTCTATGGAAGCAGACTGCCATATCTTTCTCTCATAGAGCTGCTGGTAGTTTCAAACCACTGATCTCTTGGTTAGTAGTCGATCGCTTTAACCACTGCATCACTAGGGCTCCTTTGTCTCACATAAGGGGTGAGAAAAATAAAAAGAAAGGAAAAAGCTGAGAAGCACTTGTTAAGGTCACAGCTCAGGGGCACAGGCTCACTGAAAGACTGGGATTTAGTCATAAGATCATAGACCACTTCCCATCTCCCCACATCTTACCATCACATCAGTAAGGATCCTGTATGATAGCATGGGATTACAGCTAAGAGAACTACAAGACTCAGACCCTATTTAAGGAGTCTCTAGAGAAACCCAAAAACAACAGGAGAGACAAAAACAAGGGCACCAGAGGAAAATTTAGCCTCTGAAATCTAGAGCTGTTGCAAACAGTAAACACAGT